CATGACATGTTTGCCTGCATTAATAACCCTGTGAGACTCCCCAGTGTAACAGTGCACAGCTTCAGCAAATCTCCCCTCTGTGTTTTCAGGGACATTTCTGAGAGCAGCAGCGCCCCTGATTTCTGCCAGGGCACACAGAAAATCCCAATAAAGCCCTTCAAAACATTTCACAGCTCATTCAGGCTGGAAAAGACCTCCAAGCTCAATTCCCACTGTTAACACAGCACTGTCACCTTCACCCCTGATCCATGTCCCCAAGCACCATTTCCACATGGATTTCAAACAGGGAATTTCAATTTAAGAGCCCACAGTGCATGAAGGCACACAGCTGGCATGGTGGGTGCAGAGTTTATTTCAGATTTATCCCAAATCCCATCCTGTTCCCTGCTCTCTGCAGCCACTGAGCATTACAGAGGGCTGAGGAGGGAGGAGGATCTGCCAAAATCCTTTCACTCCTGGGGAACTGGGGCTCATCTGCCAGCACAGGCAGGCAAGAGAAGCCTCAAGGTCACCCAGCTCCTCTGGCACATGCCAGCAGCAGACAAGTGGCAGCTAAAGTAGGACATTTTTCATCCCACACCCATTAAATGATTTCCTTTCATTTTGGCTGGAGTTTTCCTTAAGGTGGGATGGAGCATTTTAACCCCAAAACAGGAATGGGGTTAAATGCCACAGGCATTGTCCCTGAGATGAGGGGGACAATGAGAGACTCACCTGCTCCAGCACATTTCTCTTCCACTTACAAGAATAATTTAGGAAAATTAGACTGGATTGTAATCCCAGCTCCCACCATGCTGACCTTCCAGACTCGATCCAAACCCTTTTTTCTGTTTTCCTGAAAGTATCTCACGCCACTCTCAGCATCCAACTTTAATCCACAATGTCCAGAGCAGGCACAGAAACTGCCCTGAGCAAGGCAGAGAATTATCACCTAACACAGAGCTCAGTCCTCCCTCATTTTCATACCTCAGATCTCCTTCATTACCCTGCAGCCTTTTAACAAATCTCTAATTAACAGCCCCACGGTCCTCTATTTCTGTTTTTCACACTATCAAAAAAAAAAAAAAAAGAGCAGGAAGACTCTTAAAACTTAAAAAAAATCTGGTAACAACAATGCCTCAGCACTGCCAGTGCCAGCTGAGATGCAGCAGAATCCTGAGCATGTTTTCAGCCCAGATTCCTCGCTCACAGCTCTTTAACAGCTGTGCAGGTACCAAGGAATTACACGAAGCTGTTTCAATTTCAGGGTATGGCAATTTCCTTCCAGCAGAAGCCAAGGAAAAATCTCTTGGTTATTCCTCAAATATGGCTGAAGTCAGGGACAGCCACGGCACCTGCACAGCAGCTCCTGCTGCTCCCAAAATGAAGGCTGCCATCCATTTTGCTGTTTGCAGGAGGACATTTCCAAACGTAGTTCAGGGAATTTTTTTCCCCTTACAAAGCCTGGTTTGATTTGTGTCCAGCTCTTGCCAAACCTGTTGGGTTCTTCCTTCCCAAAATTTCAACTATTCCCTTTGCTTTGCTTTCACAGTCACCAGTGCAGCCCCACAACATCAAACCCTGGTCCCTCCATCTGTCCTGCTGTGTCCTTTTCCTCACCCTCTGTCACGAGCTGCCTTCCCATCCAAGGTCCCCAATCTGGGAGCCTCAGCATTTCCACAGCCCCATCCCATGTCCTGCCCCACCAGGCAGGTGTCACCTCACCCCAAACCTGCCACAGCTCTTGGAGTTCAGCTTGTCCCACCCTCAGCCCAACCTGAGCTCATGTCCCTGTCCCACCGTGCTGTCCCCAAACCAGCCGTGCAGTGCCCATGCCACCACCCCATAGTGCCATTCCCAAGCTGATGATGATGGACAATCCTCACCCCACCGTGTCCCTCCGTGCTGTCCCCAGCCCGGCCATGCTGGACAAGCCACCCTGTGTCCCCATGGTGTTCCAT